TGTCTAACGTGTACCACTTGTACCGCTCGTACCAGTCCAGAAATGGACCCCACAGCAAAAGACCCTCCTTGTCCCTGAACCCTAAACCCTATAGGGTTTAGGGTTTAGGGTTTAGCGTTTAGGGTTTAGGAGTCATGAATGCAGGCAAAGGTGGTCATCATTCATATACCTAGACTTGTTGTGTAAAGGTTGTCCTTGTTATGGTAGCAACTTGTTCTGCACTATTACTGTCCTTCACAACTACAACTCCTCCCGCTCCTACTACTCAGACTACTTCTACACATAGACCAGGTAGATAGAATTTGGGTGTATATGAGGATCTTATTATAATATACCTAAAGCCATATTCTATCTACTTAAGGGGGCCTATAACCCCAATATATACTCTATCATCATATGGTAGTTTCCATTTTCTTTTCCATTATCCCGATATAACCCAATATGAGGGGGACTATACTTCTGCTATAATGTATTCATTGTCCTCTTACTTCCTGCCCTGCTACGCTTGCTCTGGCTGTCTCTTGCTGGGCCGGCCTGGGGTTAAACAAGCTGAGGGCCAATAATATCGTGGGCTACTTGTTAGGTGGACCCCCCACCCAGTAATAGTGATATTATGGATAATAAGGATTATATTAGGGTCCTCTCATATTCCTATTATACCACTATTACAGGGTGGGGGGTCCTCCTAAGCTGCTTGTGGTACTCTTCCAAAATAAGGGCACGCACCCAATATAGACCCTGTTATCCTGTAATTAATCCTTATTATAGGGGCCCCCAAAAACGTACCCATAATTTTCGGCAACCCCCTTATCTGCCGAGGCACACAGTGATAGGACCTCTGCCCGGCGAGCCTGAAGAAAGAGCCTTCGCAGAGCAGCACATGGGAGGGCCACGTTGAAGAAATCAATATGAGACAGAGCTGTTTACCAGGGGTTCCGCGTTTTCAGGAAACATGTGGGGGTTTCCCAGAATTATGGGTACCTTTTTGGGGGTCCCAAAAATAAGGACTATAGTATACTATAGTATTTTGGGGTCTATATTGGGGTTCCCCTATTTTGGGAAACTACCACGTGAACATGCTGTGCAACTTATACCTGCTGGACGCCTTTCCCGTCAGCTCGTGGCCCAACACCAGTCCACTGTGCGGAGAGTCTTGCCAAGGAGGTGGCATCCAGTCCTTGGCAAGGAGGAACACCCAGGAGGCTTCTCAAAAAACTCAAGGATTATGCAGATCATGTGGGGACACTCCCCTCATACCTGCATTGATTACAAAAGATCTAGATCTTCAGGGTAAACAAGGAAAAGGCAATTGCCTGTCCATGTTCCTTTTCCTGCTACAGAGATACTCATCAGGACCTCATTTCTGAACAGCAATATGGAATAATGAGGAATCATACCATGTCGATCGCATAGAAGCCGACTCATGAGCCTGGCCATTCTGTCGGCATCCGGCATCGTTTCTTTCCCAGTTTGTGGCTCTGCTTTGTTCTGTATGCTAGCTGTTCGGAGGCTGTAGCTAAACTATGTTGGTACGACAAGCGACGGGGTTCTGGCATGCCTCGCTTTGGCTGTCCGACATCCAGTCACAGACCTCACGAAAGATGTCAGCACACACGCCAGATGTCGCATCCGACACGCTGGCCTCGAAGTCGGGCTCCTCATGCTCTGGGCCAGCATCAACAGTATTCCGCCTTCGAAGACCTCCGTGGCCGCTCCAGTCTACAGAACACGATGCAAATAACCCAAACTGCAAGTAAAAGTAGGAGCTTGCCTGCACCCGTCGGCTCAGCTCTGGCGGCGTCTGCCCCATGCCCTGCATGAAGATCAATGTGGCCTTACAAAAGCTGGTCCAGACACAAACCCAGAAACCAGACTTCGTGCCACAAACCAACACCTGAGCTACATTCAACATTTCCTACGGACCTGGGTTCCTCATTAGGGACTATATTAAGCACTTTTTACTACACTACAAGAGGGACCCCTGTGTCCACCACGGGTCCCTTTACAAGGAAAATGTAGACAGTAGCTCACGTGAGTAGCGTTTGGTGGTTGAAACCCAGTAAAATTATATTCCCTATATAAACTATTATACCCCAAAAGGAGGATAGAATCTTACTCTATAGTGGGTACCATAACATCCCCAAATAAAATACTAAACCCTAGACCCTAAACCCTAAACCCTAAACCCTAAACCCTAAACCGCGTGATCTCACCTGCAAGTACTCTGAGAAGTGTACCTGCTTCAGGCTGGCCAACATCGTCGGTGTGCGAACCAGCTCCCTGCATCAGAACAGGATGATAGTGAGAATAATAGAAAGAATAGTAATACTAGTAGGTAACAATAATAGTAATGGTAATAATAGTAGAAATATTCGTAATACTAGTAGTAACAATAATAGTAATAGTAATAATAGTAGAAATATTAGGAATACTAGTAGAAATAATGTAGTAATAGTACTAATAGTAGAAATATTAGTAATTAATAGTAATAGTAAGACTACTAATATTTCAGAACCAACGAGACACGCAGTGTTGAACGGTTGAAAGGTGCATCTCATGCAGCTTGCTCCTCGTGAGCGTCGCCTCCGGGATCTTCAACGTCCAACAAAACCTCCGTCAGGTTTTGGAAAACAAGTCTACTAGAATTGCTATTATTTCTATTATTATTGCTATTACTATTAGTGTTACTACTAGTATTACTATACATAAAAAGCTCGCAGACCATGCACATTGCCATGGGTCTTCTGCCAAGCAGCGCTTAGCACCCAACGACAAAAGAACCATCCTGACAGGGCAAGGTCAGATCTCCGTAGACAAAGGTAGGAAATAGGGAAATACAATCCCCATATAATCATGATGTACAGCAAACAAATAAGCCTTATATAATCCCTATATAATCTGAACTCCGGAACTCCAGTGCATGCAAGTTTCTTGACAATGCCCTGGTTAAATAGGTGAGCCAAAAAGTCATGGAAAGGCACGATGCGCGCTGCACGAGCCGAGAAAAGCAGCGAAAAGTTGGCCAACTTCAGTGCTGCAACATCAGACCCTAAACCCTAAACCCTGAAACAGCTGCCCTTGCCGTAGACTGTTCATTGCATCCTGAGTCCCATCTTCCCCCAAGAAAATGGCAGCAAGTGTCCATGCCATGTAGGGCATCGGAAAACGAGGTCATCGACTATGACATATGCTGACAGAAACGCAACTTTCTGCTTGCCTGAGGCGACTCTCACGCTTGAACTTCGGATTTGCCAACTCTTTTATGGAGGCCTCTTGCGGTCCTGCAGTGGCGCGATTGCCGAAGCAACTGGGCAGCATGCAAGGCCGACGTGCTGGGCAAGAACCTCTGGCCTGAACAGCAGAATACAGCTCGTGCATTAACATACAAGAGTCTCCATTTGATTTTCCATTATCCCTATATAACCCCAATATACTGTAGTAGTTTCCATTTTATTTTCCATTATCCCAAAATAACCCTATATCATAGGGTATTATACCATAGTAGTTTCCATTTTATCCCCCACACTGTAAAGATTGAGGTCTGCGCTCCGTCGGTATGGAGGGATCTGCAAGGGCCTGTGGCAAACGCTGGGCACTTCACGAACACGCGATCGCAGCTATGCTGTCTTGGTGATTCGCTGGGGTGCTGGCTCTTTGGCACAGCTCCTCGCAGGCACCCTCAGCAACCTTGGCACCATCCACTTGGGACATTCCAGCAGATGGGCCCAACTTAGAACCTGACGCTGCCCGGCAGGAGCCGTGAGAAGAGCCGCAGAGTTGCTGCAGTACACGCCTCAGAGAGCCATTAGATGCGGAAAGCTCCTTTCAAACACCCATGTCGCGTTGTGCGAGTTAGAGTGGTGGCTGACACGAAACAGACCTTCTTGTCCAATGAAAACAGAAATCCAAACAGCATCTTCACTTCAGAGTAGAACTTGACCCAGTGACGCTCCAGGATGCAAACCTAAATCAATCCTCTGGCTCAGGAATGAACAATCCCAGATGGCAGGCCCATCCATGGTGCAGCAGGTCCTTGAGTCGGGAATGAAAATCTACTGTTACCTCTTTCACACACGATGCCTGTCTGCTCAGCTTAGCTAACCTTTCGAGACACTGCAGTCCCCGCTTGGACTGAGGCACCTGCCAGGTCCAGGGCTCAGCATCAAAACCTGCAGTCACAACGGGTGGTGCTGAAGGGGACTTTAAGGGTTATATTGGAGTTCTGGTTATATTGGGACAATGGAAAAGAAAATGGAAACTACCCTGTAAAACTTTCACAAAGGGAGTTTCAAGATAGCACTCGCAATGTCCCTTCCATCGACAGCCCACATGTCATGCTTCCCAAACAAGACTGGGTTGGCCCCTACAGCCCTTGGAAAAATATTAGTATATAGGGTCCCTTATTAAAGCCATTAGGGAAAATATGAAATATTTCAGGGACCTACCCAGAAGGTCACGGTGCGCCTGCGCTGCCTCGACTGGCAAGCCAGCCGCGGCCTTGACCAGGCAGCAGTCACTTGATGAGTAAGCTCCAACTACCCCAAGATTGGGGTTATATTGGGATAATGGAAAATAAAATGGAAACTGCTATAATGGGTTATATAGGGACTACTATATGGAATATGTTGGGGTGAAAGTCCTAAACCCCAATAACCCAAAATCCTAAACCCGAAACCCTAAATTCTAAATCGTAAGCATCAAATCCTAACCTAGAGGCACCCCGAATTTTGGGCACATCAAAGTGCAAAGTGGACCTCGCGAGGAGCATTCTGGGTCTTCCGTCCAGGAGGCTCGGGCCTTGTACCAGGGACACGGGATCTGCCAACCCTGTATAGCCCCACTATATACCCAATTATAATATAGTGGCTTCCATTTTCTTAGGGCAGGATGGTTCGGTAAGCGCCCGACCTCAGGAACTGCGCCAAGAAATCCCGCTGCATCCTCATCCTTGGTCGGCAGACATGAAAATAGGTCACTGTAATACATTGGGGCTATATAGGGGTAATGAAAAGGAAAATGGAAACTACCAAAAGGGAAGTGGAAACTAACATGCTATTTTGGGGCTATGTAGGGCTTATATTTCAGCCCTAGGTACAATGTTGGTGTCAAAGACCTTCCTTCAACGGGGCGCGGAGCAGCTGGACAGGAAACTGGCAATGTGAACATTGGCCTGCATATGCCTGCATATGCCTGCATATGCCTGCATATGCCTGCATATGCCTGCATTTTAGGGTTTAGGGTTTAGGGTTAAAGGGTTTCCATCGCTGGCATGTGCTCCCTTCCCAAGGGTCAACTTACTGGTGGTTAGTAGGGAATATGGGAATAAAAGTCCCTACATAATCCCCATATTATCCCTGTATCATCCTTATATGATCCCTGCAATATTCCCCATAAATCCTTATATTATGAGCTCTAGTCTAAACTCCTAGCATCTCCCTGTATCACCCCTGTGGTACTGCTCTATGTCACTACTATCATTATTAACAGTACTCATCACTACTATCACTATTACTACGGTCATTGTTACAATTCTTATTTCCTCCAACCTGTCCAACCCTCCCTGGGAGCTCAATCCAAACCCCTTCCGACCCTAATGACTTTCTGGGTTAGTCGGGAATAAGGGAATATGTGATACAAGGATTATACGGGCATTCGGATCAAAGCAGAGTAAGAACTTCAAGCTGTGCTCGCTTTCATGTGATCCCTACATAATCCCCACATAATCCCTATATACTCCCCACATGATGCTTACGTGATACATTCCCATATTCCCTTCTAACACTCTGAGGCCATCACTGCGCATTGAATCCGCCCTTGAAGTCGCTAGGCAGGCCGTCTGGCCTCATTATTTGTGATGATGATTAACAGTGTAACTGTTGATATTACCTCATAGAATTCTTCTTATTATTGCTACTACCATTATTACCAGTGTCACTATTACTATAATCCTTTATAGTATCACTATTGCTAGTATCACTACTAATACCTCTGGGCTGCCACAAAAGTTTGTGCCTGGAGTCTCGGTCAAGGACCCGCTCGAATCAGGAAGCTCTGTGTCTCGCTTAGACTCCTCCAGCTGCAAGCAAGTAAACCAAATACACACCTACCTGCTTACACACATTCACATGTAAATGATTGCAATGCAGAACTGTCCGCCAGCCTCTTGCGAGCAACGAGGTGACCGCGGCGATCTCGAACCACTCCGGCCGCCGTAGCCAGCACGCTGTGCCTCAGGTGTGAATAAGAATGCTCGGATCTATCAACATGCTGGAAGTTGAAGTAAAGCATAAAGTAGCCAACGCCTGTCACGTCTGAGCTCCTGACAATCGCTAATGCCATTGGAACGTGAGACTGTCCAGCACTGGATGATCACACTTTACACTGCTTGAACTTGCCTGCCTTTCAACCTGTTGTAGCTTTCAATTAGGATGCTAGCCACGAAGGCTCTGCTTTGAGAATGTCACTCAGAGGTGTACAGCTGGTGCGTTGCCTGCGATGTCATGCAACTCTCTGCCTTGACATGAAACACCTTCTTCACGTGGTAAATATTGCTTCAATGGAGATGACATTGCTTAAAAAGTCAGAGAATTTTTCAGGCGCTCAATCACACTGGTTCGATGCCTGAAACTGGCGTGATGGGTGCTGCTTTGCAGCGTGTTGGATGGAGTGAAACAAGCCGCACTTTACAGCATGAGAAAAACAAGAGATCCTACGCCACCTACCCTTGCTGCTGACAAATTCGTCAAGTTGAAAGGCAGTCTAGCGGTGCCGTCGCAAGGTCCACCGCATGCAGCTGGCCATAATCACGTCAATTCGTCCTGGAAACATCAAACACATTCAGAAAGGTGGTGATGCCTTGATGCCTTCCGCCGTGAGCCTCGTCATCTTCCCGGCCCTGGATTAGGTGATCCGGGGGCCGGCCAGGACAGCGCCTCGAAGCATCAGCCAGGTCTCGCAATGAGCGCCAAAACTTTGAAGCTCAACACATCATGAGCGCAGGACAGGTGTATGGACCCAGGTGTGTACTTCTGTATCAGGGAGGCCTCATATCCACACAAATCCGCCAACAATCTTGGACATCTTATGATGAAGTGACAAGCTCCCAGCACTCTTCGGCGTCTGCCTCAAAAGTGCCAGCACGCTGCTGTCAATTCCTGCTACTGACTGTCCGCGGCACCAGTAGTCGTTCCAGTGTTCGTGCCGACCCGTCTGCGGATTCCTCATCCTGCCAACACACTTCAATCTATACGACGTCATGATTGGACGTGATAGGCATTTCAACAACTTCAACTGCTATCCCACTTTTGTTTGAGACTGCCTGCCACTCGGAGCGTGCCGCTCTGGTATCAATGGCGCAATATCTGCCGTCAACATCGTCTGCGGCCTGGCCGAAGACTGTCTCAAGAGCAAACAAATCTACGGTCTCATTTACGCATGCTGTGAAAGCATCTTAGACGTCGAAGGCTGAGTCTATCTAAGCAGAAGCTGGCGGAAGTTGCGGTTAGGCCTATGCAAAGTTGCATTTCCTGAATGTGTTTACCCTGAAGAGACAATGGCTTGTTGCTACTCCGTTAGATTGGCACTGCACAAACGGTGAGTTTCGGCCAGTTCAGGTGCAAGACATCCGGAAACACCTGAGGAAATCCGTCTGGCTCCTGCTGGCCTCACTGGCTCGGGAGTATCCAGCTTCTGGTAGTGAGCGTCCCAGCGAGGATGTCTGAACACAATGAGAGGCAGCGCAGCACTGATCGGCCCGCGGGCCTGTGACTTACACGTCGATGCTCAGCCCTTGACCGGGCATAAAACCTTCGAAGCTCAGTTTCTGACTGGACCTTTCAGGAAATGGCAGGACTCAGGAGAGAAAGGCGAAAAAGCTGCTACAAGTAGGGGCCGAGCTCGCGAAAACATATGCTTGTGCCGCGGCATGAGCACCTGAGCAGCAGGCACAGCAAGAGCCCCAGCATGCTGGGAGCCAGCTTCTCCATGCAGGACCAAAACCCTAGCCTAAATAGTTGTTTCTATGTCATTTTCCATTGTCCCAATATATCCTCTACATAACCCCTGCAGATATAACCCCAATGTATTATAGTGGTTTCCATTGTATTTTCCATTATCCCGATATATCCCCAAGATAACCCTAATGTTACCCCAATGAATACCTATCATGCGGCCTTGTTTAGCAAGGAGTTGTCTTGGCAGTTCCAGCGGTCATTCCTTGCAACTTGCAGGCTGGACATGTTGAAGCCTGCCTGCTGGTTCTTTACACTTGCAATGAGCTCATAACCAAAGGGGTCGCCACTGGCTCCTTGGCATAATTTGAACTGCTTCCCGGTGGCACCTCTACTGACGCAAGGTCAGGACCTCTTGTGCTGCGTTAGCCGAAGAAGCCCATCAGCATCCTGCTCGAGCATCTACCATCATTCAAAGCGTTTGATTGTGTGCTGGGGCGCCTATCAACTTGCATCTGCTGCATCTGCACTGTTTTGAGGCCTTCTTGGACAGCTTTGGTACTCTGCCATAAACGTCATCATCGTGAGACCTACGAAGCGCAGGAGGCACGCAGAGAGGCAAGCTCGGTCCTATATGGGCTTGTAACACAAGCTCCGGGCGATGCGTACTGCTTGAAAACCGGGTTCGAACTCCTCAAGCGACTGCGCTGAACTAGGCATCCGCTTGTCAGGGCTTCAAAAAATGCAGGGCGCACGCACGCAGCCACTGATTGTAACGTTTCTGACCTGGAGCTTTGATAGCTGCAGCTGGAGCCCAAGACACGGGCATTGAGTAACGACAAGCATTCAGAGCCGGACTGACATATCCTTCCACCTTCATATCCAAACTTGCCTTGCGCAGAACAACTTCGTGACAGGGCTGAGAGACAAGCTCTGGAAACAAAGGAGGGCACCCATTCTTCCTCAAACTTTTCTGCTGTTGGCCGGTGCCTTCTACAAACTGTACTTCAGCAAGCGCTTAGGACTCGTGTGGCTTCCATGATTTCTATATGGATCACGGCGCACCCTAAGAAGTAGCGATAGACCTCCAAGAACTCGTCTTTGTCCAGGAACTGCCATCGCAAGCAGGTATTTACGGGCACTCCACATAGAGACACTAAGAAGAGCCAGCGTACTCCACTTTGGTCCAGGTCAAAGAGCCTTGAAAAGAAAGTGCCCAGTTCAAACAGGACATGGCCTACATGCTGCTTGAGAGCCGCACGCAAAGACGAGATCTGCCTTACGGCTGCTAGCGCCAGCCTTGCGCAGCACCTGCGCAAATGCGGCCCTGCCAGCAGGTGCAGCGACACACTGCTGCAAGCCCCGGACTCGCAGGAAGGAGCTGAACTCATCGAAGGAAAGCTCACCTGACTTGAAAGCAATGCACCGTCCACCTTTCCATCATCAATTGCAACTGTTGAATTCAGCCACGCCGCCACTTGCATTTTGGGCTGCCTTCCGCATGCAGAAGTCCACAGCCTGGCTGAAACAGAAATCCGCTGCAAAGCTGCCTTGGGGGCAGTGCCACCTGTGGAACGTTGATCTCTGAACGGCCGTAAGCAGCATTTGACTCGTCTCCTTTGTGGCAGTCAGGGTTGATGAGCACTCAACCACCTGATGCTCTGATGCACTGCATCGTCAGTTCATTCTGAGGTGCAGGCTTTTTGGAGCAATGACAGCCTGCAGCTGCATCTATCCTTGAGATACCCTTGCTACATGGGAAGCTTGCAAGAAGCCGTCGCCGTGACGATCACTGCAAACAAAACCTTGCAGAACTGCTATCCAAGAGCCTTGAGGATCCCTTGGAACTCATCGCACATGAGCTCCTGAAGAGAAACTAGGCACAGCGAGGACCTCACAGACTCATCGAAAGCGTCCTCTCGCGTGATGGTGCCACTGCCTTATGCAACATCTTGCAAGGCAGACTGAAAATACCAGTCGATTGCAATATTGCAACTTGAGCACGATCGCGGTCCATACGAATCCATAGTCTTGTTGCCTGGCTGGGTAATGGGCTTCGGCTGCACTGGCAGGATCCGCCTGAGACTTGCTGGGGCGACCCATTCGCCTGGAATCGGGTGATGACTTCTTTATCATGGCCCACTTTTTGAACTTCTTCGGCCACTGGGCCGCCCACGGTGCTTCACCGGGTCGTCTGTCTCTGGTATCGCAAACAGCATTTTTGCCTGGCCTCATTATGAGACAATAGTCCTAAGTAAAATCCCGCAAGCCAGAGGCACCAAGCCTGCTTCCGCCATGGGTGCCAGTCATGTCCATGTAACTACATATGCAACAATGCAAGGCATGCTGTGTAGAGCAGAATGGGCTCTTGATGTTTGTTGGCATGCGCTGCTGCCACCCACTTTGCGGGGTTGCACTTGTTGAAATATCTCTATCTATCTTGACTCAAGCAAGCTGCAGCGCTGTATGAACTCAGCACGTCGAAGCCCTTTACCGGCATCAAGCTGCAAAGATGCTGCAAGATTTTACCTCTATCCCAAGTCTCTTTCTGCCCCAGGAGAACCATGGCCATACAGCATCAGCCTGGCAAAACTTCAGACTGCACAGCACCGCACGCCCTACCTAAACCCTGAACCCTAAACCCGAAATAACCCATTATAGTAGTTACCATTTTCTTTTCCACTATCCCCATATAACCCCTATATATATATATATACCTAAACCCTGAACTCTAAACCCCCCTTATATGTGTGCCTAAACCCTGAAACCTAAACCATTCCTGTAAGGAGCCGGCCCAACTGCCACCAGCCCTATGGCTGGCAGCATCGACAGCCTGAAGGCTGCCATTGAGCCGTCCAGCACCTTGGACTAGTCCAATCTTACTGGGGTTATAGTGTCCTACAGGGATTATGAGGGTTTTATAGGGGTTATATAGGGGTTATACAGGGGTTATAGGGTACTACAGGGAATATAGCGGTTTTACAGGGTTATTTAGGGTTATATAGGGGTGATAGGGGCCATATTGTATTAGGGTTCTATGGGGATACCATAGCCCCCCGTAAGTACGTAGAGTATGGCCTTGGATATATCATAATAAGATCCCCATATACCCCACATTCTATCTACTTAAGGCAGACTATAGTCACAATATATACCCTATTATAATATAGCAGTTTCCCTTTTCTTTTC